TGTGTCCCTCATAATTTTTTTGCTCTTAAGTCTGTTTTATCCATATTAATATAACCACTTCTCTTTTTTTAATGTTTGCATGATACATCTTTTTCCATCGTTTTATTTTTAACCTATTTTATTATGTTTGAAGTGAGTTTCTTGTAGACAGTATATAGTTGGATCCAATATATGATTCTCTCGTTTTCAGCTGGTGAATTTAGACCATTCATATTTAAGTAATTACTGATATGTCAGGACTTAGCGCCCAGATTATTTCTGACACTAGGAGTCTTCTTACATCCTTAACCATTCATCAGTACCCACAAAACACAAGTCAAGTGAATTAAGTGAATTCTTTCTCTCTTTTTCTTTCTTTTTTTTTATCTTCAGCATGGTGACTGGGTCCTAAGAGAAGGGTTTCCCAAAAGTGATTATCTAGGAGGCCCATCTGGAAGCTACAAGGCTTCTTAAGACCCAGCTTCAGGTCTTCAGTCCTAGAATGCCACTTCTGCCACATTCTATTGGTCACACAGTGCCAAACCAAATTTAGTATGGCAGGTGACTGCATAAGGGTAGGAATACAGAGATGAGGATCACTTGGGGCCAACTTGGATACTGACTGTCACTACCACTAATTCACATGCTAGAGTTGAAATCAGAGTCACGATCCTTTCAACTAGCTAATCACTCTGGGACTTGACTTTATCATTTGTAGATTGAGGAGATTAGACTAGATGACCACTTACGTCCCTTCTGATCTATGATTTTTTGTCTATTTCTATGTCAGAATATTTGTATATCTTTTTTCCCCAGCTTTATTGAGGTATAGTTGATGATTTGAAATTGTATAGATTTAAGGTGTATAACTTGATTTGATAGATATTGTGAAATATTGAGCACAATCAAATTATTCTAACTTGATTTAATATATATTGTGAAATATTCGCCACAATCAAGCTACTTAACATATACATCACCTCATATAGTTACCATTTGCTTGCTTGCTTTCATTCATTCATTCATAAAAGGATTTTTTTGACATGTTTATTAGCACTTTACCATTTTACCACCATGTAGGAAAGACTTAACCATTATTCAAGTAATCTTTGACTAATCTTGAGCTCAGTTTGACAAACTAATGCAGTTACCATTGGTTCCAGAGGTAGCCAATATCAAATATAAGATGGTCTATACATTATCATAGGTATAGGGAGCCCTGCGGGAGTGATTTGGATCACTAAAGAAACTAGAAATCTTGTTTCAATTGATCAACAGCAAAAGAAATTGACTTTGGCTTAGATTATTTCACAGACTCTTCTTTCTGAAAAAATGAAGATCTGCGAGTTAGGGCTTTTCCTTTCCAATTTATATATGTTTGATTATAAAAGAAATTGATCAGATTTTAGTTCAGTAGCTTATTCATTGTTATAATCTGAGCCTTGCTGAGCTTTCCCCAGCTTCCATTTTACCTGAATAACTTTCCCTCCCCAAAATCATAACTTGTTTTAAAAACAATAAAATATGGGTAGGACTGCATCTTGTTGTGTTCCTCCAAGATTCCTCGTACCTCATATTTGTGCCAGGATCTTGACTTAACCTCAGCCTTGCCATAGTCAGCACTAGAATGAACTGGCACTAGAATGAACTGAGTTTATCCAGATATTTTAAACAGAGGCACCAGTCATTTGAGTGATTTCCTCCCAGGGGAACACTTTGAATGATAATACTTTTTTAGTTTATTAAGGTATTTTGAGGGGTGTCTTTACTGTATAATAAAACCTTACATACTGTCTTTTAAAATTATTCCTGATAGTTGTAATTCATTATAGGAAAGTAAAGTATATGATTTATAGCCTTGATAGAGATGTGGTTTATGGATCCCAAATCATAGTTATCACTACATAATATGCCTTTGGCTCCCAGTGGCACTGTCCTCTTGAAGCAGTGTGAAGTGTTTATTTTCATGTTTATTCTCCTATATGGGTTGAAGGATGATATCTTCTCTTTTTCATCTTTCTATCCCCTGTACCTGGCATCTTGCAGATATATAGTAAGCTTATTGTATAAACTGGGGCTGTGTATAGGAGAGACTGAGCTTTGGCCCTACTTAAGTCAAAGTCCTATTTTGATAGACTAATTGAAGAGTTTTGCTCTCTACTAATGGATAGAATAATAATGGATAGAAGTTATTTTGAACAGTATTATTTAAAGTTCATTATAGTGACAACACTAAAGCTTCCCAAACAAATTTTAGAAGTATACATTTTGGCTTATCATGTGTTTGACCTAATTCTTCTTTTTTTTTTTCAAGCATTTTTTTTTACTGAGTTATAGTCATTTTACAATGTTGTGTCAAATTCCAGTGCAGAACACAATTTTTCCGTTATACATGAACATACATGTATTCATTGTCACATTTTTTTCACTGTGAACTTCCACAAGATCTTGTATATGTTTCTCTGTGCTATACCATATAATCTTGTTTATGTATTCTACATATGCCTGTCAGTATCTACAAATTTCGAATTCCCCATCTATCCCT